AGTACTGGGACTAATGGCATGGGCCACCACATTCAGCCTCCTGTAGATTTCTTAAAGTCTACATCTCAAAGTTTTCTGTTGGGAAAAACTGCCAGTCTTTCCTTCGGATTTTTTCTTGTCTTCTTTTTCTTTCATTTATGCATTCACTCTTTCCATCTTTTCCTTTCTCTTAGTTCTTTATTTCTTTATATATGTGACGAAGTTTTGTTTGTTTTTTTTTTAATCAATCTTGAAAATATATAATATGCAGGCATACTTTTTTTTTTTTTTAATCTTTTTGAGACATGGTCTCCCTGTTGCCCTAGCTGGCCTGGAACTCATTATGTAGACCAGGCTGACCTTGAACTCTCAGAGATCTGCCTGCTTCTGCCTCTCAAATGCTGGGATTAAAGGTGTGCACCACCACACCCAGCTGCAGGCATACTCTTTCCCGTGCAATCCAGGCTGGTCCCAAATTCATGATCATCCTACCTCAGTCTTTCAAGTCCTAGGATAAATAGGTCTGAGACACTATAATAATTTATGCATACATTCTTCAAGTATCTGGACAATACTCTGAAACTGTCAGGATCTCAAGGTGTGGTGGTGCATACCTATCCTGTAATTCTAGCACTGGGGAGGCTGAGGCAGGAGGATATCTGTGAGTTTCTCTGTGAATTTGAGGCCAGCCTGGTATAATGATCTCCAGGCCATCCAGGTCTGCATAGTGAGACCCTGTCACAAATGAACAAAACAAAACAAAAACTATCAACGTCACAAAACACAAGAATGTCTAAGAAACTGCCACCACTGGAGGAGACTAAGAGAGAGTGGCATTTGCAGTGGGTGGGTCCTAGCACTGAAAACAGACACTGATGGTAGGATCCCGATAATCTCTGTGTTTGGGGGAGTAGTACCCCACAAAAACTAAAACTAACACCTTAGTTTTGACAAATGGACACTAGTGGGCTGGAGTGGGGCTCAGTGGTGAAAACTTGCCTGGGATGCTTGAGGCCCAGGGTTGATCTCTAGTACTGCAGAGCAAAAGGACACTGTAAGGTCACTGGGGGAGACAGAAGGGTAGAGGGTGTTCCCTGTGCTGTTTGTGACTTCTCTGTAAATATATATAAAATCATTACAGCCCTAGCTGGCTTGGAACTCACTTTGTAGACCAGGCTGGCCTTGAACTCACAGAGGTCTGGCTACCTCTGCCTCCTGAGTGGTGTGACTAAAGGCATGCGCCACCATGCCCGGCCTCAAACTAAAGACTTGCCGCGAACTCACACAGGTGTGTGTCCCCCTGCCCCCCCAGAGGTGTGTCTCAAGACACGCGCCCCCCCGCCCGCCCTCACACTAAAGACTTTTAAAACACACACACACACACACACACACACACACACACACACACACACACACACACAAACACACGGCACCAAACAGCAGCTGTGGCTTCAGCTAACTGCGGAGGCTGAAGCAAGAGGATGCTTAAGCCCAGGAGTTTTGGGCCAACTTAGGCTACATAGTGAGATCCTATCTCAAAACAACACATGCACAGAAAATATTTCCAATAGTGCATCAGAATGTAAGTGAGCAAGCTTCCTTCTGCAGCTTTTCTCCTAGAAGTACTATGTGACTCTAGGAGAGCTAGAGAGCCTCTCTCTCTCTCTTCCCCCTCTCATTTTGTTTGTTTCAGTGCTGAGACTTGAACCCAGGGCTTCACATAAGCTAAACCATAGTCAGTTTGTATAAACATCATAGCATCATCTTACACAAGCTAAGAGGGCTGTGAGACTATGATGTCATCTGGTGCTATCATCTCATGAGACCATGGTCATATATTCAGCATGTGACTGGTGGAATCCCCTACTTAGGGCCTTATTCTTATGCATAATTGGACATGCATATGATTAAAATCAGATACATGATGGGAAGGTACAGGCTCAGTAGGAAAAATGAAGAAAAAGAGAACCTCCCAAACTACATCCCTTAGCAACCAAACTCTTCCTTCTCTTGAGCACCTGAGTTATTACTCAGGAATCCCTGAGTAATAACTGGGATCCTGAGTGTCTTCACTCAAGTGGTCTGCAATCAATCTTGATGGGGTTTCTCTTTTCATCTCTACTATCCCTTTGGTCTAAATAAAGCCATCTTGCTACTTTTGTAAATCTGTGTGAGTCTTTATTTTCAATTCTTTGGATAAGAGGTCAAGAACCTGAAAACACCTGGCCCTGACCCCTACCAGTAATGGGAGGAAGAGGATAAGGATGAGGAGAAGGGGGGTGGGGGAGGAGGGGAGGAGGAGGAGGAAGAAATGGAGAAGAGCAACTCCATAGTCTAGTCTCTAGGTTCCTGCTAGACAAGCAGTTACATTGGGCTCTCAGACCCAAAGTAGGATTTGTGCTAGCCACCAAAGACAGCACTAGGGCTTGTGTGCTCTCAGCCAACCTCCTAGCCACATGGGCATCCTCTGTTGGAATAATTGTGGCATCTATCCACTCTTTGTCACCAAAGCAATGTTATCTTCAAGAATTTCCCGTTGAGTTTCATTTCTAAAGTCATAGAGTTTGCTTGGAGTGGTGGCCTTTCCAAGAATTGCCTGTGATTCTCTGGGCTACTCCATTTCTGTCCACAAATATCTCTCTCTCTCTCTCTCTCTCTCTCTCTCTCTCTCTCTCTCTCTCTCTCTCTCTCTCTCCCATTTGCTATATAGCATCTATCTCTGTTGCTCCCTATCACAGCTCCTCATTTTG